GGAGCATCCCCGATTACCTGGCGAAGAAGCCACGCACGACACCGACAAAAGAAAACAGGGAATGGACGTCCGAACGATGGCCAGACTCTTGGAGTCCTTGAATCCCCCCCCCCCCTGCAGCCCAGGCTTCAGCATGGTGGTGCGGGGGGAGCGGAGCCCGCTGTCGCTGCTGCGGCGGGACTACCGCGGACGATCGGTGGCCCCGACCTCCCCGCGGGGGGGGGGATCTCTCGTGTCCGGGGGCGGGGGACGGGCACGAGGAGGGGGGGGAAAGAGGGGAGAAGGGGGGAGGAGGAGGAGGAGGAGGAGGAGGAGGAGGAGGAGGAGGAGGAGGAGGAGGAGGAGGAGGAGGAGGAGGAGGAGGAGGAGAACAGGTCGGAAGCCCCCCTCAATCTCCATCTCGTTCTCCTCCACCTCCTCTGTCTTCTTCCTTCCAGTCGTGCGGACAAGGAGAGCCTTCGCCTCCTCGTTCTCCTCCGCCTCCTCCCTCTCCTCTTCCTCCTCGCGCTCTTCCTCCATGTCCGCGTGCTCGAGGGGCGGACGTGGGGAGGATTTTGGTGTTGTGGCGTGCCAGGCCTGCATCGCTGTTGCAATTGTGAGGGGAGGCATACGAGGAGGAGGCGGAGGTGACGCAGGAGGGGGAGGCGGGGACGACGGCGACTAGAAAGGGCGGATGATGGAGATGAGGCGCAGTAGGCAGGTGGAGGGAGGAGGAGGAGGCGGAGGAGGAGAAGGAGGAGGAGGAGGCAGGGCGGATGAGGATAAGTAAAAAGGATGAGGTGGGACGGAAGGAGGGGCCGTGAGTCTTGAATCTTCAAGGGGGTCCTTGAGAGCTGCATGGGTTCCGCAGGGAGGAGGAGTTGGAGGAGCAGGAGGAGGGGGGCGTTGGAGGAGCAGGCCGGAAAGGAGGGCGAGAAGGGGGCGCGGCGGATGATGAGGAGGCGGAACGACGAGGAGCCAGAAGCGGAGAATTGTTGTGGCGGGAGTCCTGTGGTTCTGGCGGGGGTCGGGGGGGCAGCAGGGGGGCTCAGGGTGTCCTTGGGTCATAGTGTTCTATGGGCATCCGGGTTGTTATGGGGCTCTGGGAGGTAAAAAGGTCAAAGAAGGAGGAGTGGTTGATGAAGAAGAGATGCAGCACGTGAGGAGGAGGAGGAGGAATAGGAGAAGGAGGAGGCAGAGCACGAGGATTTAGAAGGCGACCCACCCGCGACCCGCTCGCGACCCACCCGCGACCCACCCGCGACCCCCGCAACCCACCCGCGACCCTCCCGCAACCCACCCAGGACCCACCCGCGACCCACCCGCAACCCACCCGCGACTCTCCTGCGACCCACCCGCGGCCCACCTCGCTCCCGCACCATCATTCTTTTTCGCAACTGCGGGGTGCTACGAATATACGAGAGGGAGAGAGAAAGAGAGAGAGAGAGAGAGTGAGAGAGAGAGAGAGAGCCAGGCAGACAGTCAGAGACAGAGACAGGGAGGAACAACACATATCATAGATGTAGAGAGAGAGGGAGGGAGAGAGGATGAACACTGGAAAACGAACGTTACATATAGGCATGTTATACATGTGCAAATATGTAGATACCAGAGAGAGAGAGAGAGGGAGAGAGAGAGAGAGAGACAGAGAAAGAGAGAGAGAGAGAGAGACAGAGAGACAGAGAGAGAGAGAGATGATAATAATAGAGAAGATTGGAGAAAAAGGTGGAGGTGGAGCTGAATGGAACTTGAGGTTGTTTGTCGGGAGGACGGGGCGGATGGAGTGGGCCCCAGCCACCACCACTCTTTTCTACAGCGTGGCCCTTCTTGTTCACTGCGAGAGTCGCATGCCATGCAGCGCGTTTGCACGCGTCTTATGTGCGCGCTACCAGCCTCGCCTCACGCTGTCCTTCGAGAGCCGGGGGGGGGGGCGTGTGCGGGAGATGAAGAAAGATGTTGCACCTAGCTTTGGTAGGATTCCATTCGAGTTGCAGCGAGCCCGTGCAGGACCCCATTAGAGCTGGACACAGCACTTCTTGTTTTCTGAGAGAGCTGGGTCGAGCCCTAGTAGCATGATTGTAAGAAAGCTTGGCCGAACCCCAGTAGAGTGAGGCGGCCGGGCGGTCAGTCACTGTCCCTGGGTTGTTGTTGCTGTTGTTGTTGATGTTGCTGTTGTTGTTATTGTTGTTGTTTGTGTTGAGGTGCGTGCGTGTGTTTGTTGTTGTTGTTGTTGTTGGTGGTGGTGGTGGTGTTGTTATCGTCGTTGTTGTTGTGGTTGCTATTGTTGTTGTTAGTGGTGTTGTTGGTGTTGTGGTCGTTTGTGGTAGTGTCGTTGTTGTTGGTGGTGTGGTTGTTGTCGGTGCTGTTGTTGGCTGTTTTTGTTGCTGAAGTCGCATGTCTAACGAATAAGTTGTGTCGGGCCGCCTGCCCGGTAACCGCTGCATTTGCTCAATTCAAGTGATTCTCCCACGGCTCGCACCTGGCTTTATGATGTCCCAATCTACTTCAGCCTTGATCACCAGAAAGAATTTCGAGCGCCAGAGAAGTACCCCAAACCTTGAGGGTTTTCACGCGTCGGGCCCTGGGAGTCACTCGTCCGACACTGTCTCGACACTATTTCGACACTCTTTCGACACTTTTTCAGGTGCTCGAAATTATTTCGGGGATTTGGTCCTTAAGTACGATGGGAGCAACATAAACTTTGCTGTTTACTAGGGAAAGCGAGGTGTTACCAAACTGTGTTGTTCGGCTCCCCGTTTACAACAACGGCGGCTCCCGCCTGATACGTCCTCACCATGTATTCCCCGATCACGCTCTCGCGCGGGACACCCTCACAGTCTATTCCAGAATCGCGCTCTCGCGTGGGACATCCTCGCAATTTACTCAGACGCCGGGCCCTCGACACTCAGGAATCACGTTCGCACTTTGGACTTCCTTTCGATGTATTTCGGAATTGCGCTATCGTTCGAGATTTCCTCGCGATTCATACAGGGCGCACGCTTCAGCAACCCGACTACTCGACCAGGCCCCTGGGCCCGCCTTCCCGACCCGCCCGTCAGGGTCTACCCGCCCCATCTGCCCGTCTAGTTATGCCACGTATGTTCTGCTTCTAGCCCCCCTCATGCTACTCTCTTTCGTGCTCCATCCTCGTCACTTCTCATTTTGTCACTTACTTCCATCCGTCCTCTCTTTCCCTGCCTTAGGGGCTGCACGTAGTACAAGATGCAGGTGAGAAAGATATATACCCCCAAGCGGGTACGATCGAAGACGAAGAGGGTGGGTATCCAGGGTATGGGAATCACATGTTGGTTCACATGCACGCGTATATGAGCAAACAGTTTCAAAATGATTGTTGTTGTTGTTGTTGTCGTCGTCGTCGTCGTCGTCGTCGTCGTCGTCGTCCCACTCGCGACCTGGCCCGCAACCCAGACGCGACCGACTCGCGATTCCCGACCCACCCGCGACCCACCCGCGTCCCACCAGCGACAGGCCCGCGACCCACCCGCGACCCACCTGCGACCCCCCCGCAATCCACCCGCGACCCTCCCACGACCCACTCGCGACCCAACCGCGACTCAGCCGCGACCCACCCGCGACCCACCCCGCGACCCACCCGCGGCCAACCGCGACCCACCCACGACCCACCCTGCGCACGCCTCCTCACTCACATACGTAACTGCAGGGAGCTACATACGATTCCGTCAGAGTTTGATCGAACCCTACTCGGACTCGATCGGGGATGGATCCAGCCCTGTACAGATTCGATCAGAGCTGCATCCAGAGTCAGCATGGTTCTATTAGAGATGGATCGGGCCGCAGTAAGTTGTTATTAGAGCTGAGACGAGCCCGACTGGGATTCTATTAGAGTTGCCCTAGTAGGTTTCTATTATCACCATCAGCGCCGGGCGCGGGCGGTTGACCTGCGCGCGCGCCAGCGCCAGGCCCGCCGTCGCCGCTGCTGACGTTGTGGCCATCGTCGTCGTCGTCGTCGTCGTCGTCGTCGTCGTCGTCGTCGTCGTCGTCGTCGTCGTCGTCGTCGTAACGTCGTCACTGTCATCGCCGTCGTCGTCGTCGTCGACGACGACGACGCGCCGGCGCCTCATATCCGGGGTGGCCGTAGTAGGGACTCTTGCAGGAGGCCGCAGAAGGAGCCACAGTGGGAGCTGTAGTGTGGGCTGCAGCGGGGGCCGTAATGGGGACTTGGAGTCCGCTGGGAGGCTAAGCTGGCCCTGTACTGGTTTTCGGTGTCTGGGGGCCGTTCCAGGGCTCAGGGACCTTCAAAAACGAATTCATAGTCTAATAGTGAAAAACTGGCCCCGATGGGCCCCAGGAGTGGTCCAGAGATTGATTTTGCGCCGATTTCGCATCCACCAACTGGGGGCTGTTGCGCGATCCGTTGTGCGAGCTGCAGAAAATGCAGTAGCGCTAGCAGTAATAGGAGCTGTAGTACGAGCTGTAGTAGGGACTCCAGTAGGAGCTGTGGCAGGAGCCCTGAATGCCGAGGGTGTCTCAGGCGAAGCGGGCCAGAACACATCGCAAAGTGCCAGAATCTTCAAACATGTTTGCAGTTCTAGCTGTTTTTTTGTAAATTATGTCTCAGGCGAAATGCTGTGCGCGGGTCCCTTGGCCGGAAAGAGTTCTTAACACACAAGGGTTTTGGTCAGCCGTGCTGGTTGGGGCAAACCGCCCAAACATTTGGATCATCCTCCTCCTTCCATCCCCCCCTCTCCCACTTCCCTCCCGTCTCCTTACCCCCCCCTTCCCTCTGGAGGGGCTGCTTGGTCGGCTCCTGGGCCCCTTTGGGACTCCTGTGGTTGGGCTTTGGGCTCCTGGCACCAGCTGATCCTGAGCTGGCATTTCCTTTGTCCCCCCGAGCCTCAGCCGCGGCATCCGCAGAAGCTCTGCCACAAAATCTCATGGTTGGATGGGTGGGTCAGCATCTTCCTCCGCTAAGTATACACGACTCCCACCGCTACCAGACGTCTTCCCAAGGCTGTTGAGGCAGGTAGCTATCAGGGCACCTGCCACGTCCAGCTCTGAGAGAGACCTGCCCGCTGCTGCCATCACCATGGCCTCCGTCGCCCTGTCCAGCTGGCAGCCGTCCGAGAGAAGCACTCCTCGGGCAATGTCTGGTAGAATCACTCCTCCTCGGCCAGTCTCCATGCCGGTTGAGCGAGCCCGAGCCGTGTACTGAGCGGCCTCTCCGCCCTGCTCGGCACGCAGACGCGGGCACCTTCTCGTGGACTCCACGACCTTCTCGGGCGCGGGCTTGTCCAGGTATCGATCGTCGAGGGTCTGAGGGATGAGGTCCTCGCCGCCCGGCTGCTCGAGCATGCCATCGCCGATGTCCTCGCACATCTTGAGGGCATCTCCATCCAGTAGAGTGAGAATGGTCGAGCCCTTGGCATCGTCGTTGACACTACTCGATCTCAGCCAGGCTCTGGCCCACTTCCACAGTTTGTATTCCTCACGGTGGTCACCAATAACTTCTTCACCGTCTTGCCAGAATCACCCGATGCCGACGCCATCGCGTTGCTGGTAGGCACAGGCCTTTTTGTGACTGCAAGATGGTTCGGTGTCAGCACATCTTCGCTGTACCAGACAACGAACTAACAACATGCACACCCATACCCATAGAAGGGTCGGCAGGAAGAGGACTGGCTATGGGTATGGAAGCGGGTTGTCGGACACTGTGGGAGGCTCCCGGTCCGAGCGGGGCCCCCCATCCGACAACACGCACCCGTAGCCACCTCCGTGCCACCTATGGTCGGTGGTTCAGAGATGGGGTCCTGAGGGATGGGGTCCTAAGGATCGGAAGAGATCCAAGGTTGGATTTACATTGTTTGAGGCACCTCGTCCTCATGACGTGGGTGCGCGTTGTGTTCGCTCGCCGCCAGTGTACCTCATTAGTGAATTTAATTGGTTGTAGGGTTTTAACAAATGGTCGCAGCCACGCAGAGGGCGTGCGTCGCGACGCCCCAAAAGCTCGGTCTCCAGTACTTCTACGTGGCGGTGCCCCCGCAGGCACGCAGAGGGCACGCGTGGCGACGGGGGCGTCGCCACGCAGAGCTTCTAAAGACCAAACATTTTGAAAACCAATTGTTTCCACTACTAAAGTACATCCCCGTGCGCCGCTGAGTTCACGCCCTGGAGCCAGAGAGGCGGCGGAGGCAGGCGGCGGCGAGGCACTCGGACCAGGCACAGGATTCTCCACCTGCCGCCCCATCGGGGCCTCGCGATCTCGCTGCCATGCGCGCCGCGGCAGGGCTCCAGGGCGGCGTCGTCGTCATCGCGATGTGGAGGAAGCGGAGGAGGAGAGGAAGGAGGAGGAGGAGGAGGAGGAGGAGGAGGAGGAGGAGGAGGAGGATGTGGAGGAGGAAGACGAGGAGGAGGAGGAGGAGGAGGAGGAAGAGGAGGAGGAGGAGTGGGAGGAAGAGGAGGAGAACGTGAGACAAGGACAAGAGTGAGGAGGAGGAGGCGAAGGAGGAGGAGGAGGAGGAGGTGGATGGCTCCAAGGGCTCCAAAGGTGGGTTGGGGGGCTGCCCTGCGCCGCGGCAGTGCTCCAGGGCGTCGTCGTCGTCGTTGCGCATATTGTGTGCACGTAACTGCCCAAGCTTTCTGCCTCCCCTCTGCCTCCCTCGCCCATTCCCTTTTCACCTGCGCGCGCGTGTGTGTGTATATGTGTGTGTGTGTGTGTTTTGACCACGGTGCTACAGGCTCGCTTGCCTCCCTTTCAGGGGCGCCAGCTCTTCCCAGCGACTGCAGATTCGTTCGCTCGTGTGTTAGCCACGCTTATCATACAGAGAGGATCACCGCTCTCAAACCTGGGGGCCCGTCGACGGACCCCAGCAGGCGACATCGAGGGAAATCGCAAGGCTAGAACACATCGCATGGTCCTGGATCTGGGGCCGGAGTCGTATCTGAGCGCATGTGCATGTCCGATCTCCGCCCATCACCCCGGGAGGATAGTCGACTAGACGTAAGAGTGACCTGTCGCCGGAGTGACCTTCGGTGCGGGCACAGATGGGCCCCCAGATGGCCGAACGCGAAGCGGTAGCAGCGGCCAGCGCGCCTGGATCTGGCCTCCCCGCGGCCCCCCAGAAGCCGCGCACCAAAGGTCGCTCTTGTCCAGGGTCACTCTTACGTGTAGTACGTGTAGCCGATGATAGCCGCTCCCGACCCCGGACATGAGGAGGAGGAGGAAGAGGAGGAGGAGGAGAAAGAGGAGAAGGACCAGATGAAGGAGGAGCAGGAGGAGGAGGAGGAGGAAGAGGAGGAGGAGGAGCAGGAGGAGGAGGAAGAGGGGAGAGGAGGAAGAAGAAGAAGAAGGAGAAGAAGGAGAAGGAGGAGGCGGAGGAGGAGGGGCAGGAGGAGGAGGAGGAGGAGGAGGAGGAGGAGGAGGAGAGGAGGAGGAGGAGGAGGAGGCGAAGGAGAGGAGGGAGAGGCGAAGGAGGAGGAGGCGAAAGAGGAGGAGGAGGAGGAGGAGGAGGAGGAGGAGGAGGAGGAGGAGGAGAACGAGGAGCCCTGCGCCAGACCAGGTGACCCGGCGCGAGCAGAGGCTGCCGCGAGCCGCGGTGCGGCACCGCCGGCCCACCCACACGCCCAGCCGAGGCCGGGCCGTCGCCGCCGGCCGCCCTCGGCGGGCGGCGCCCGGCGGGCCCTCGGCGGGCACACACCGCGGAGGTGCAGTCGGCCCGGAGTAGCAGGTCGACATCGTATGAGCCTGTTTTTTTAGACTCTGGCAAGCTTACTTGCATGGACGGGGGGGGGGGGGGGCTGAGCCTGAAGCAAGCCGCAAACGACTTGCACGTTCGGGGGGGGCGCGGAAATCATGCAAGTCGAAAGGCACTTGCACGCTAGTATTCGCTTGAAGAGGGGCGAGGGGGGGGGGGGGCGAGCGCCATGCAAGTAAACTTGCCTGAATCAAAAAAAAACAGGCTCTATTGGTTTCGAAACAATCGGAGGTGGATGAACCTCCTACCCTGACACGTCGATTGAGGAGTTGGCCGTTTTCGGCTCGCGAGAGAGCGTTTCGGCCGTCATTTTTGCGGGTCCAGGTCCGTCGGTGTCGGCCGCCGCCGGCCGCCCTCGGCGGGCGGTGCCCGGCGGGCCCTCGGCAGGCATACACCGCGGAGGTGCAGTCGGCCCGGAGTAGCTCAGAGCCCCGAATCATCAGGGGTAACTCGGGTCAGGGTTATCGGGGGCGGAAAAGAGGGGGGTGATGACTAAGGGGGGGGGATATCATGGCGAGGGCCATGATATTTCCCCAGATTTCATGGCGCCTCTTCTTATTTCATTACGTCCCTGGCCCCCACGCTGGGCCGCGCACATGCCGCGGGTCATGATTTGCACCCCCCCCTCTTGGACGCCCCCCTCTTGGCCGCTCCCGATAGTACACCGCTGAGGTGCAGTCGGCCCGGAGTAGTTCAGAGCCCCGAATCATCAGGGGTAATTCGGGTCATGGTTAACTCGGGTTCCTTTTTTCGGGAGTCTGAACCCGACTTACCCCGGACCCGAGTTACCCCGGATAATTCGGGCGTCCAGAGCCCCGAATCATCAGGGGTAACTCGGGTCAGGGTTAACTCGGGTTCCTTTTTCGGGAATCCGAACCCGAGTTACCCCGGACCCGAGTTACCCCGGATAACTCGGGCGCCCAAGTAGTACACAGCCGTGGCAAAAGTTGCGTCAGTTTGCTATGATGAAGATCTCTCCCATCCCTCTCAAGACTCCTACGATGACATGATGCTGGGACCGTTCGGCGGAGTAGTTTCCGAGCCCGGAGACGTGTATAACTCTGTTACCCCAAAACGGGATCGGAAACTACTCCGCGCCAAACCATATAAATGATCGATCGGGATGCGATTGCGCGCGGAGTACTTTTAGTAAAACTTGTCCGAACTACTCCGCACGAGCGCGTCATTCCAAAAGGCAAATCGAAAGAAAATTTCGTCACGGCGATGTAGGTTGACATCTTATTGGTTTCGAAACCATAATTTCGGTCACACTGGGGCGCGGCCAGCTAAACTTCGGGCCCCAGTCTTGGTCACCCTTCAGGCTGATCTCCGGGCATCGTTTGGGTCACGACGCCTCTCTGATAGAGACGAGGCTCCGCGAGACTTGTACAGTGAGCCCGCATAATGATGGGCAGCCTTCCCAAGGGTACCCTTGCCTCCTCGGTCCATCCTTGGCCACTTCCGCTGGCCGCGCCCCGCTTGCAGAGTGCCGGCATGGCCTTCCAAGGCCCCTGCATCCTTACCGCGCATCCTTGCGATACGGGTTGACTGTACAGTCGGCCCAGATTAGTAGGTCGACCCTGCCAAAGCAAGGGAACCTTTGTGTCCTGTGTCTCGCGGCCCATGTCTCCTTGCCTTGCTAGGGCAATGTGTCCCTCGGAACCTCGGAAGGGTCTTGTGTCCTCGTGTGTCCTGTCCAATCAAGTCCGCCTGTAGGGACAGCTTTGGGCGCAGGAGTGGATTTGCCGGGGAGGGCTAGGACGAGGATAAATCCATGCAGCCAGAGCGATCCAGAACGCTCTCACAGCACCCTGGAACGCTCGGAGAAGGCCGCGACGCCCGGGACACCCTCCACAGTCCGCCGGATCGCAGAGACGCTCGAGGTATCCTTCCCCGATCTTATCCTCGCTCTGGCTTCGTCGCACTCTGCAGGCATACAGTCGGGGCCCTGAAGAAGGAACGCTTTTCGTTGGGGAGGGGCTCCGCGTTCCTTAAGTGTTTCACAGCTTGCCTCAGGCTTTCCTTATGATTTCGATCGGAAATCGAAGTTTAACTTTTGGAAACAAGGAGCCTCGTTCCTTATTTAGGGTTCCTTAGGTCAACGCCTCGACTGTAAGGGCAGCCTTGGGCTCAGGAGTGGCTCCTGCGTTCCCCGGCCGCTCCTGCGTTCAGGTTGTGGGGCCCTTGTCGAGGCCGAGGCACACCGTGGCCCAAAGGGCCCTCTTTTATTCTGCATCCAGCGTTCCTTATGTCAGGGGCAGCGATACGGGGGGGCTACGCTTAAGTCGGGCCTGTCCCTCTACAGGGGGAATTTTGAAAGATTGTAAGGGTATTCCGCTGGCAGTTTTGATCAAAGGGAGTAAGGATTTTTCGCTGGCAGCTTCAAGCCAGGGGTGTGCGAATCTGTCGCTGGCGGCTTCAAGCAATGGAGGTGAGGATATTTCGCTGGCAGTTTGAAGCCAGGGGCTTATGATATTTGGCTGGCAGCGGTAAGCTAGGGGGGGGAAGGAGATTTTGCTGGCAGTTTCAAGCCAGGGGGGTGAGGAGATGCTGCTTGCAGTTTGCAGCCAGGGGGGTGAGGACACTTGGCGGGCAGTTTTAAGCCAGGGGTTGATGGATCTGTCGCTCGATGTGTTTAGCCTAGGGGTGAGGATATGTCGCTGACACTTTCGAAGTCAAGGAGGAGGATACTTCGATGGATATTCCACTGGCAGTGTTAAGCGAGGGGGTGAG